TTTTTTAAAGGTACGTGTTTATTAAAAGTGAAAAACTGAAGAAAAAAAAAAACCTCTGAAACTTCCAAGCAATTATAGAGTTTCTGCCATTTCTTTTTTATTTTCACACTGAGGGTAGATAAAGGACTGTGTTCACAAATGCCTGGATCATTTCTTTTTTCTCTGAAGTTATGATGTTTACTTGAAATACATCAAGGCCATTTGTTTCTGTGTGTATTCAGTTTTAGAGTTGTAGCTACATTCCTTATTGGTGTAATTCTGTTTTTGAATTAAAACATTTATGTTTCCAAAATTAAAACTGTATGTGTTATCCACAGAAAAGTGCTGCTCCTCCTCTTAGTCTTTCAACTTTGTTCCCACCCAAGCTCCGTGTATGACCTGCTTCATCAGTTTCTGATTATCTTTCCTTAGTTTCTTTTGTGGAGATTTTTGAGAAGCAACCAAGCAAAAAAGTAAGCGCCAAAACCTGAAAATGTGGGTAGGGTATACCTCAGTGGTAGAGTCCCTGCTTAGCATGCACAAGGTCCTGGGTTCAATCCCCAGTGCCTCTATTAAATAAATAAATAAAAACTTAGTTACCCCACCAAGAACCCCCCTCAAAAAACAAACAACAAAAACTGAAACATAACAAAACTGGATGACAGAACTAATATAAAATAGGTAGACATTTATTTTTTTATATATATATTTTTTGAAGTATAGCCAGTTTACAATGTTGTGTCAATTTCTGGTGTACAGCATAATATTTCAGTCATGCATATATATATATGTATTTATTTTCATATTCTTTGTCATTATAGGTTACTACAAGATATTGAATATAGTTCCCTGTCCTATAAAGTATAAACTTGTTCATCTATTTTATATATATTAGTATCTGCAGATCTCGAACTCCCAATTTATCCTTTCCCACCCTCTTCCTCCCTTGGTAACCATAAGTTTGTTTTCAGTGTCTGTGAGTCTGTTTCTGTTTTGTAAATAAGTTTGTCTTTTTTTTTTTAGATTCCACATATAAATGATATCATATGGTATTTTTCTTTCTCTTTCTGGCTTACTTCACTTAGAATGAGATTCTCCAGTTTCATCCATGTTGCTGCAAATGGCATTATTTTATTCTTTTTTATGGCTGAGTAGTATTCCATTGTATAGATATACCATAGTTCTTAGATTCATTAAAGGATTAAAAACCTCAGCTTAGATCACAAATCAAAACCTAAAAGTAAGCCAAATTAAACAACGCATTAAAAAAAAGTGACTCAGTGTTTGAAAGTAAAAGAATAGTCAAAGATATATTAGGAGTTTGGGATTAAAAGACACACATTTTTATATATATATATATATGTATATATATAAAATAGATAACAAGGACCTACTGTACAGTGCAGGGAACTATATTCAATTTCTTGTAATAAGCTGTAATTGCAAATAATCTGAAGATATATATGTAAAAAAGATATATCAAATAAATTCACACAAAAAGAAAATGGAGACCCCCAACAGTAGTATCAGACAAGGTTGAATTAGTAGGGAAGCAAACAATAAACTAGACAAAGAAGGTCACTCTACAGTGATAAAAGGGTCCTCTACAAATGCATCCACATTGGCTCTGTGCTTCCACCTTTATTAAGATGTATGGAAGGTTATGATCACAGTATTATTGATAATAGCAAAAGACTGAACCTAGTCCCCTCCCGCCACGTTCCGTCATTAGGACTGGTTGAGTAAATGGTAGTGTAAAATACAATATGGCCCTGGGAAATAATGCACTGCTAAGGAACAGCCTCCAGGATACACTGTGAAGCAAAAAAAAGAAAAAGATACAGGACAAAGAGTGCAGCTGGAGCCCTTGGGCTGCACATTCTCTGGGAGGACTTGCAATGGCCCTGGGGGTGCAGAGGGGCAGGGGTTAACTGGGGAACCAGAGCTTTAGGTTGAGGAGATTTTAAAAATCTTTTTTTTCAAATATCCAAATAGGGTAAGAAAATTCCAACAGGCCAAGAAGATATACAGGTATACCTATATATTAGAAGGTGTATACTGTCTTAACCCTATTTGAATTTTCCCTATATGCAGACACTATCTTTTCAATTTAAAAAGAGTCATTTTAAAGAGGTTTAAAAGATGAAGATCCCTTCCAGACCTGAAATTATATCATCATTATGCATAACACTGTTCAGTAGAGAACCTCCAAAAAAATCCATTGTAAATTGTGGTGTGAACATTAGCAAATGGTTGTTCGTGTGATTTGAGCCTTAGGTAGTACTGCCTATTAAACCACGTGTTTAATTTTGTCACCAGAGATTTGGGTATCAGAATGTATATGCATAACCAGAGAATAAATCTGGTTTTGTCTTCCCAAGGTGAAATGATTAGACTACAAAGGCCAGTTTCTTGGAGTACATGGGAAAGTTTCAGATGAATGCCACCTTCCCTAATGTGGAGAAGGCTTCACAATGCAGTAGAAAGTACCTTGCTGGGGAAGGGTATAGCTCAGTGGTAGAGTGCATGCCTAGCATGTGTGAGGTCCTGGGTTCAAACCCCAGTGCCTCCACTAAAAAAAAAATTACCAACCCCCCTCCCCAAAAAACCCCAAGTATGTTGCTTTTTGAATCAGGTTTTTTTTTTTTAATTTGATTTGTTTGAATTCTTACTACTTACTTCTGTGTGACCTCGAGCAAATCACATTGTCTCTTGCAATCTAAGATTCCTCTTACAAAGGGGAGGACTTACTTCTGCCGCACTAGTGTCGCAAGGGGATGTAGGGATCCAAAGAGGTAATGGATATGGAGATGAAATCCCTAATCAAGTTTAAGGGAGTATTAAAGGTTTCACTACTCGGCACATGTAGGTCATATATTGAAAACATCCTAAACAGGAGTAGCCTGGTATTCAGCAGTCAGCTTTCCGGAGGTTTCTGAAAGGACAACCACTGAGCAGCCTCAGTGGACCTGCTGGTGCAGAGCATGTGGGGACACGTCGCTTACTACATGTGTGAAGCCTTAATGAAACACATGAAGGAAGCTATTTGTCAGATCCCCGAGTTTAAGGTACAGAAATACTCGGGGCAAGATGTCAGGGACTTCAGTTACTGGGATCTGAGACTCACTGTTGTGACAAACATCCCACTACATCTTGCCTTGGGAAAATTGTCATTTCAAAGGCTGCTGAAGAAGAGAAGGGATCAAAAAGATAATTTTAATAACTCAGAGCCCAGATAAATGTTTGGGAAGTCCCTTTTCACGTGTGATCCCAAAGGAAATGAATAAAGGGAATTTTTACTCAATGAGGCAGAGACGGCAGGTGGGTCACAGCTGGCCTGGGCAGTTCCCGAGGGCCTTGGTCAGAGGCAGGAATGGGAACCCAGTGTATGCCTTCCTGTGCAATTTTGCAGACACACGCTGATACGTAAACCTGTGTCTCCAAAGATGCACTAAAGTTTTTATGCATTAAAAATTAGTAGTATGGCCAGAGGTATTGCTTAATAATTCAGCACATGCATTAACTTAGGAAGGGTTTAAAAGTCATTTATTGGAAAGAATGATTACTGTCAGCCCATTTTCAGTGGGTGATTTTATTATCATTTTATGCCAAAGGTTATCATTTCTTTTTTTATACTTTCTTTTATGTCCAATAGACTATCTTTATGAGACAGCTTTAATAAGATATTTCTTAATTACTTTTTTACCTCTCTGAGCTTTCTCACTCCTCTGCTGTTCCTTGTTCCCTCGAGTAAGTAACAGAGTTTCACCGACAAGAAGTGAAGCAGAGGTTCAGAAAAAAATGTTCCTTGTCCGATGCAGGCTTGGGAAGACTGATAGAAAAGGAACTTGTGTTGAAAAGAAAGTGAGGACTGGATATTAGTGGCGAGTGAACTTAATATGCACAACAGAATGATAGATGCTTAAAAAAAGAAGGCAAAATAAACTTAGTTTCCATATATGGAAATGAAGCTCTTGGATCACAGGAAAGAAGTAGTTCTGTTTTCTGTTGATTCAAGCCACAACTGAGATAAAGAGGTCAATTTGGAAACCCATCACCTAGGGATACATGGAGAAGGGCCACCAGAACAGAGAACCAAGAGACTGTCACAGGAGGAAACACAGAAGGTGTCTGGGAGGACTGGCCTGAGGAAGAGAACGGAAGAGGGAAACAGGACAGCAGCCTGAAATGAGACAACGAGCCACTAAGTAAAAGAGAGTGTAAACTTGGGTTATCTTTTCCCACAGAACTAGGGTTCCTATGCAGAAACCAGAGGAAAGTACATTATGCATTAAATTATTTAAAATCACGTTCTAGCAGATAGACCTGTCTGAAAATGAATTATGCTGTCTTGGAAAGTAGCCATTTCCCCACCATTCGGGTCCAAGATGAAGGGGCATCTGTCAGGGACACCGTAGAGCATCATCACTTTCTAGTGGAACTTCGTGCAGTGATGGAGCTGTCCCAGATCGGTCCTAGACGGTAGCCACTAGCCACACGGGGCAAAGAGCCCTGGGAATAAGACTCGTGTGACGAGGCACTGAATTATTTTCAGTAATCATCATTTAAAGAGCCCTCTGGGCCCAGTGGCGACCATGTTGGAGAGCGCGGTTACAGGCTAGGAGAAGTCGCTGCATTGAGCTGGAATGTGGACTAAGCCACCTCTGAGAGCTCTGATCTAAGCTCCTGATGCTCCCCTCACCCCACTGCAGTAGTGCTAAATTGCTTCTGTTCCCTTGAACGCACAGTGCTATTTCATACTCGTAAATGTTTTCTCTGCGTGGAATGCCTTCCTCCAGTGTGTTCTACTTTTCCTCATCCTTCCCTCCATTCTCAGTTGCTCTTCTCCTGGAAAACCTTTCCCAACATGCGCAACACTTGCGTCTTCCGTATCTGGGACATGGGTTTCTTATCAGGCGCATCGTGCAGCATTCTAACCCTCTGTTAACTTCTCCCTCTCACCCGCGTGCTTTGAATCTGTTAAGGAAAGGGCGGCTTGGCTCCCGGAGCAGTGCTGCTGAGCAGAGACGGTGTGTGAGCACACCTGATATGCCACCAAACACGTGTATTTTACAAAGTGATACCCAAGAAATTGCCAATTAAGGGGAGATGGTACAACTTATCAACCATAGGTAAGGATAAAGGAGTCGAGGTTTTAAAATATTTTGCACAATATCATGCAAAAAAAAATGAGTAGAAGAAATTGACCTACCATTATATTTTAACACCCTCCTCACTCCTCATTCCTGAACATCGCTGTGTCAAGTTAAATACAGTTACTTTGGAAGAATTTTAATTAAAGTTCTTAGAGCCACAAGGGAGCATGAGGTACTTCCTGCCTTTTAGCAGTGACATTCAAAAAGGCTGAATAAATGTCCCAAGTTTGTTCAGCGAGGAGGTGTCATAGTTGACTTTATTTATTTATTATTTTTAAGCTTTTGGTGGTGAGGGGGTAATTGGGTTTATCTTTTTTTTTTTAATCGAGGTACTGGGGATTGAACCCAGGACCTCCTGTAGGCTAAGCACACACTCTAACACTGAGCTATACCCTCCCCCTCACAGCTGACTTTAAAACCATATCTCCTATTTATTAAGAATGGATGTCTCTGATATCCTAGTTGTTATTTTAAAATTAAATATGTTCTAGTTTTCCTGGCTCCAAAATAATACTTGTTTTTTTTTAAGTAAAAACATTGGAAAATACAGAAAAGAATAGAAAAGTATTTTTGAAAAAAGAGAATACCCATCACCTGTAACTTCTAAATGCAAAGGCTGATTGATTGGTTCATTCTGTCAGGGCGCACTACCAAAGACCACCAGGAACACAGCTGGAGTTGAGTAGGTAGAACTGCCGTGAGGGGGAACACACACCATGGAGAACCACAGGGTTTCCCAGTAAGAGAATGTTAGAGAGAATGTATTGTGCAATTTATTCCTTGGTTGAGTGATGTGGGGGAGGGTCTAGGAAGGGGAGAAGGGGCTTTGCTGTGGACTTGTTCCTGTCAGAGAGCAAGACAGTTCTGTGATTGGGCATCTCAAGTCTTATGTATAAGGATAGGAAAGGACAGACGAGAATGAGGATAAAGCTGTAACTGATGAAGAAGCAGTCCCTCACCTTGTCTAAGGGGCGGGGTGTCTGTGGGTAGCTCACTGGCCTTGCTTTTGTCTGCTCTTAGACAAAATTATCAAGTGGCTTTACATGTCTCATTTCATCATCGTCTCAGAATAAGCTTGTCTGAAGTTGGTGCTCTCTGAGATGCTGTATGTCTAACTGGAGTATTATGTGGCCCAACTGTGTCAGGCGAGTTCTGAAAATCAGAGACTGCTGCTTTTTGTCTTTCTTTCTCAATTCAATTATTCATTCAATAAATATATATGGGAGGGACGGTATAGCTCAGTGGTAGAGCACGTACCTAGCGTGTACGAGGTCCTGGGTTCAATCCCTAGTACCTCCTCTAAAAAGTGAATAAAAACCTACTTACCCACCCCAACCAAAACCAAACGAGCAAAAACCAAATAAAATGCTGGCTTAAAAAATTAAAAAACAAAGAACAACTAATAATAAACAAATAAGCCTAATTACCTCCCCCCAAAGAATAAATAAGTACATGTATATAAAGATGTATATTTATATATAAGTAAATATATAATATATATTTATATAAATTTATATAATATATGTTATAAATATATAAAATATGTATATAAATACTTATTTCTATATATAAGTATATATTTACATACATAAGTATATATTTATGTATATAAGTAAAAATATATATAAATATATATTTAGAAATATATCTAGAGAGAGAGAGCACTTGTAACTCAGATAAATGAGTCAGGACGTAGTGAATAGAACATGGTCCACATTCTCCTGGGGATTAGATGCTAACTTGGGGATTTAACTAAGCAAACAAACAAATCTATGAAACAAGGTGGGGTAGCACTGACCTTTGCAGCCATGTGCTGGGAAGAGACAAAGAACAAGGGAGCGGCCCAGTGGTAGAGACTCTGTCTTAGGGAAGGCCACTTTTAAGCCGATCTGAGCAGAGGTCCATATGAAGTGGGGGGTAAACGGTGAAAGGTCTGAGAGGAAAGAGCTCCGAGGAGGAGGAACAGCGATTGGAAAGCCCCTGGTGGGGAGGGGTAGGCTCCCTATGTTTGAAGAACAGCCAGGAGGCCAGTGGGGCGGCACAGGAAGGATGGAGGGGTCTGTGGGAGGAGAGACGGCCCCAGGGAGGGGCCGGGGAAGGGCGGTCAGATCATTTAGGATTTTGTAAGCAATGATGAAGGGTTTGGACTTTATTCTAAGTGTGATGGAAGTCATTGGAGGGCTTTGAGCAGGCAGGGAACATGATCTGGCTTCTATTTGTAAAGGATCACTCTGACTCATAAGGGGAGGGTATCTACAGGAGAGCAGCAGGGCAGAGGCTCGGAGACCACTTAAAATACAAGTAAAAGTTAAAGTTAAAACACAACTTCATTGGTCCAGGTGGGAGATCATGCACCATTCAGTATGGTAGCCACGGCTTACGTGTAGTGGCTGAGCCTTTGAAATGTGGCTGGTCCAAGTTGAGATGGGCTTTAAGTGTAAAATACATATGGCATTTGGAAGACAGCTGGGGAAAAAAACAATGTTAAATGTCTCTTTTATATTTTTATATTTATTACCCATTGAAGTGATAAAAATTTGGTATATTTGGTTAAATAAAATACATACTTGAAATTGATTTCATTTCCTTCTTTTTACCTCTTTTTACATGACTACTAGAACATACGTGTTATCTTTCTATTGGACAGCACTGGTCTAGAGTCCTCCAGTGGAAGGTGCTGAGGAAAGGTAAGACACATGATGTATTCCCACATCATGCTGGTGTTGTTGGTGATAAACTGGGTGTGAGCTAAAGAAAGGAATCAAGGATAATTCCAAGCTTTGAACTTGAGCATCTGGGTGAATAGAGGTGCCATTTACTGAACTAGGGAGTGTTGGAGTAAGAGCAGATTGGGGGCACAGGGAATCAGGGTTCAATTCTGGACATACTAAGTTTGAGATTTCAATTAGAAATCCAGGTGGAGATGTGTATGTGCAGTAGGCAGTTAAAGGGAGAAGATTGGGGTGGAGATCTTCTTTGAGAGTCGTAGGCAGGTACATGATGCTTGAAGTCCAGGGACGTGATGAGATCACCACGGAAATAAGGATGATGGAGAAAAGCAGCTGTCTAAAGACTACGTCTGGGAGCTCTAGGAAAAAATGAGTCGGTTGGGGAAAAGTCCATGAGAGTGTAATATCCCAGATGTCAAATGGGGAAAGTGTGTGAAGACTACAGGCGGGATCTGCCCTATCACATACTGCTGGGAGGTTCCATAAGAGGTGGACTGAGATGTGAGCATTGGGTTTGAAGATGTGGATCAGACCATGGTCAGTCACGTGGGCATGAGTCCTGATGTGAGTGAGTGCAAAGACTCACAAGGGTGAGGAAGAGGACACAGTGATGAAAATCTGTACCAGAGTTTAGAGCAGAGAAATTCGGGGTTTCTACAGGGCAGTGTGGAGTCTAGGAATGAGAGGGATGGATCTGGTGGAGAGATTGTCCTAGATCGGAGCCCACCTTGTCCTTCTAAGTGCTGACAGAAGGACACTGTGCAGGTGAGCGGGGAGCTGGGGCTGGGGAGGGCGCTTGGAAGTTCTCTTCAGATCGATTTCAGTTTCTTAGTGAAATAAGCAACTAGCCACCCACCGAGGCCTAAGATGGGGAGACAGTGTTGAAAGTGTGAGAAATAGTCACCTTGAAGAATGGTAGGGCGATATTTTTAGGGAAGATTTTAGTTCCCGGATCACTCACTGTCGGCCTCTCCAACACTAGCCCTTCCGTAAGATGCAGTAATTCCAGCATCCATGTACGTAATCCTCCCAACACTGGCCTCTCGATCCTTGCTCCCTCGTCCAGTGATCTCTCCTTCCATCACTCTATCTTTTCCTCCACTAAGGTGATACCCTAGACTCTAGACAACCCAGGTCACTATGTAAATGACGCCATTTACCAAAAATGGCGATGCCTCATCATTTCAATTTCAAGCACTCCGCTTTTCCGCCATCCCCTTCCAGAGTTTTAGTTTATTCCCTCTAGTACCCCAATCCCAGCCACCCTTCACTCTGTCCCCACAACCTTTTCATTGTCCCTCGCTCCACTCCCGCCTCAGCCCCTGACTCATCCAGCGCGATGCCTTGATAAACCAGATAAACCGTAATCACCCCCTCAAGCGTAGCCACCGCTTGCTGCCCCCGCCTGTCCCTTCTCCCTGCTCGCAAGCAGCGCCCCAGCAATTATCCATGTCTCTCTAGTGTCTTCACATTTTCTTTCATTATACAGAACGTGCAATCACTTCTCCCATCTTAATAAGCGCTATTTTTAAAATCCTACTTCCACCACTACTGTGCTTTCTCTCTTTCCCTGTGTAGAACAAAAAGTCTTCAAAGAGTTGCCTGTATTCACCGTTGCCAAGTCCTTTGCTTGAATTTTCTCTGGAACCCTCTCTCATTATCCTTCCCTTACCACCCGCTGAAATCCCCACCTTGCGAAGTCTGATTATTTATTCTCAGTCCTCATTTCACTCCATTGATGAGGGATTTCATCGTATTTCATCCTTGTCTTCACTTGACTTCTAGGACAGTAGAGTTTTCTGATTTTTCTTCTATCTCACTGCCTACTCCTTCCAAACATCAGAAAGTTCAGACTTTGAATTTTTAACCTCTTTCGTTTAACCTCCATTCACCCCTTGGTGATTGGATTCAGCCTCGTGGTATTAAATTCCACATGTATGCTTCTGAGCCCCCGATTTTATCACTGACCCAGGTCTGTCTCCTGACTTCCACACTTACGTATATAACTTCCTACTCAACATTCCCCCTTGAGGGTCTCATTGGCACTGCAAATCTAGCCTATTCCAAACTGACATTCAACCCCCCTAAATCTAGTCTTCCTCATCCTGGGCTGACGACCGTTTCACCTTACCAGTTGTTCAGGCCAGAGGCCTTGGCGTCATCCTTGACTGCTCTCTGTCTCATATCTCACGTCTGATGTCTTAGAAAATCTGTCCACTTCTCCCATCTCGGGCCGCACCCAGGTCTTCCCTGACTGCCCCAGAGTGAGCGGTTTCATATCTTGTGCTCTATTGGTCTGTGGTACACTATGGTAAAGAAGAATAAGAGGGTGTAAGGGAATAGGAAGAAGCTTTCTAAGCTGAAGAAAATAAAAGCAGGGAAGAGGAAAACCACATGTTCGGGGGACTGCTAGTGTTCAACACAGCTGGAGCGAAGGATTTAAGAGATGAGGCCGGAGAAGCAGGCAGTGTTACAGAAGGCCTCTCTTATTAAGTGGGCGGTATGACTATTTCACAGTCAGTGATGAAGCCTTGGAAAGCCTTCAGTGTGGGGAAACTTCAGCAGATGTGTGTTGGAAAGGTTACTCTGACGGCAAAATATAAGCGAAGGTAGGCAGGACACACACCTGAAATAAGGCCGGCTCCCTGGAACAGAGAAAGAAGGAGAGACCGAGAGATGGTGAAAATAGACTCCCTTTGATTGAGTATAGCACTGAACATGGGGAAAGGAGGGGTCTTCTGTCCTGGATGTGTTCAGATGGCAGCACTGCTCCCTGAGATTGCACACGGCAACAAGTGTAGAGGAGGGTGATGGGTTTCTGCTAGACAAATGCTTCCAGGTCCAGGGACACCTCACTGAAGACATCCAGAAAGATGTACATTTCATGGATCAGGAGCTCTGGCGAGGACTTGGGCTGAGATGTGAGTTTAGGAGTTGTTTGAACACACACCACTTTGTCCTAGCCTGGGCATGGGAATCGCTCAGCAGTGGTACCCGCAGGAGATAAAAATCAATCCAAGGCTGATAGTAGGTGTGTATGGAGGAGAGGAACCCCTGAAAGGTCATGGGGATTGGAGGGAAGATGAGAACCAGGGGAGGGTGATGTCTCAGAAATCAGGGAGGAGTTTCCAGAAGGGGAGGGATCATCAAGTAAGGTGAGGATTGTGTTAGCTCAGGCTGCCGTAACCAAATGCCATGGACCGGGGGTGGGGGGACCTCTTACTGGCTTGCAAACAGTTGCCTGCTCAATCTGTCCTCACATGGCAGAGAGAGAGAGAGAGAGAGAGAGAGACATACAGACAGAGACACAGACTTCTCTTTTGCTTCTTCTAAGAATGCTAATCCAATCATCCAAACCCAATTACCTTCCAAGGTCCCACCTCTAAACACCATCACATTGAGGGTTATGGCTTAAACCTGTGAATTTGTGAGAGACGTAGACATTCAGCCCACAGCGAAGAGTAAACGGCTTTATTTTGATTTGACAGGCAAGAAGCATTTGGTGAAATCAACTGTACTTCAATTTAAAAAAAAAGTATTTGGTGGCTTTGATCAGAACACACTTCTGATTGTGAGTTGTGAAGTTGTGAGTGCAGAATTCTGATGGCAGATAAAGGGCAAAGTCAGAAGGCCAAGACAGTGACCTCCGTCTAGCACTCCTGTACCTGGTTTCTCAGAGAAGGAGAAAGATGGGAATGTATTTGTCTACAAAGGATGCAGACCTGCTTCGAAATGGAAAGATTTGAGGGAGGGAGGATATAGCCCAGGGGTAGAGTTGCACAAGGTCCTGGGTTCAATTCCCAGTACCTCTGTTTAAAACAAAAGAAAGAAGCAAATAAATAAACTTAAATTTACCACCCCCCCATTAAGAAAACAAACAAAAAGGAAACAAAAAAGTTTAAAAATTTTTTTAAAAGATGGAGAGATTTGGACATGCTCACAGGCATCTAGACGGTGTCAGTTAAGAATAGTATAAAAATTGAAAAATACTGGAGAGAAAGGAGATGCCTAAGGTCTTTCAGGGAACAGAGGAGGATTTCACTAAGAGAAAGAAGAGCTGAACTGATAGCAAGATGGCCTCTGGGGATCAGAGAAGAGGAAGTAAGTCTGGGCCAGACACAGCAAACATGTGGGTGTGAGCAGGGCCAGCCCCATGGGCATGTGACTGCAGTGGCCTCGGGCACACTCTCAGAAGGAGCCCTGGGGAGGAGGGCACAGCTCAGTGGCAGAACACATGCTTAGCATGCATGAGGTCCTGGGCTCAATCCCCAGTGCCTCCTCCAAAAATAAAGAAACCTAGTTACCTGCCCCCAACAAAAAAAAAAAAAAAAAAAAAAAAAAGGAGCCCTTTGCTTCGTCTAATCTCTGCCATGTCCACTTAAAAATTCTCAATAACGTTATCTTTGAACTTGCATTTCATACATGAAGTCCAATGGTGCTATAACTCATGCACAGAACAAAGGAGAGACGACTGGTTGCGGTGTACACACGCTCAAGTTCAAGCCCATAGGCAGTTGTCTTGGCTGCCTGACAGTCCTGCACACCCCAGACACAATCCAGGGAGCATGGGACCCTGAAGTGGTGCCTGGGGCTGGGACCTGGGTCCAGACAGGCAGCGGCATTGTGGCAGTAGCCCCAGCCCTGGGGATGGTGGAGTTCAGCATGGAGGCAGCTGACTCCAGGACCCCAACTCGCCAACATCTGCACAAAGACTAACTTTACTGCATGAAAACTGGTATAGGAACTGTTGCTGCTCGGGCGGGAAACTGTAAAAAATTAATGCAAAATAGAAGTTTATACACGGGCATTGCATTAAAGCGTATAATGCCCAGGAAGTCATAAAAATACTTCAAAGAGTTCAGAATTCCTGGTTTTGGAAACTACTACAACCCTGCCAAACAAACATCCATTAAATTGTCATTGTATAAATTGATATTTGAAATTAAATTCAGACAACGCAAAACTGATTTGTACGATGAATTAAATCTTTTTAGAAAAATTGTACCATCTGCTCTAGATGTACTGAAATTTATATTTCAAAGGAATTTATCAGAAATCGATCTCAATGTTGTCATAGCCTATAAAGTACTCTTAAGAGCTCCCATGACAGTTGCATCAACAGAAAGATCTTGCTTGACATGAAAAATTATACAAAAGTGATTGCAATCTTATATTTGAAAAGAGCATGTTGATTTCAATTATACCAACTGAAAATGAAGTTGCTGAAAGTAAAAATTGTGCCAACGCAATAAATGAACTTGTAGAAAAGGGAACCAAAATAACCTCGTGCTTAGAATGTCACATTAAAACAATATTATTTATTGTGGTGTATACAATTATATCAAATATATTTTTTTGCAATTTGTAAGTTTCTGTTTTATTCATGTGTCATTATTACTCCTAATATATATAGTAATTAATAAAATATTTTTAAAAGAAAAAGCTTTATATTTTAGTACCTGTAACTGCACTTTTTTTTCTTGCTTTTAAAAAATAAAGGGAACTGCATTTTCATGTTGAATTGAACCCTGCAAATCATGCAGCTGAACCTGGTTGTGAGGATGGGATGCTGAGGGAGCCCAGGCCTCATATTCTCAGTTTCTTTTTTTCCTTCTGAAAAGCTGGAGGCAAGAAAAGGGGGGTTGTGGGGGAATAGAAGCAGGGTGGTTCCTGAGTGTTGGCTCCAGGGTGAATTTTAAAGGTTTAAAATGTTACGTGGAAAAAAGAAAAACAAAAAACTTAAAAAAAAAATAAAATAAAATAAA